GTAAAATGCTAGAAATGACGGTGATTCTGATTTGCAGTTATGTATATCATAGATGCTTCATTCAAGGAACCAGCTCCATTCAGCCATAAAAGCTTCCATTTTTAATGAAAGTTTAAAACCTGGACAGTACTCATATGCAGTATTAAGAAGAAAACTACTTGATAAGATAAGAGATTTTACATTTCTGTGTGCTCATGTATTTTTTTTTGTATCAAAAAAAATTCAGGAGATATAGTACATGGTGGTGGTTATAATCACTAATAGCTATGAAGACTCTTTAACATTTAATTGAAATTCATCAAGTACATCTCTCTGGTGTATAATGAAGTATTTTAGTACATTTGTAAGTATTACATATTAATAAAATTAATAAAGCAATTTGTTAAAATATTAAATCAGAATTATTAACTGAAATGTATCCCACCTTAATAATGTCAAGTAATTCATCTTGTTCCATGATTCTGACTGATTAAATTTCTCCAAAGGGAAAAGTGACCCCTGGCCTAGCTGAAAGTCTGATGGAAAAATGGCCTCGAGACTGGAGGCCAGGAGCCCTGGAGTCTGGTATCCTTCTGGGCCTGGTGGACCTTAGCAAGTCACTTCTGGGCTTTATTTTCCCAAGGGCTCAGCAGAATTAGTTTCAAACCATGCTCCTTGACCTCACTGTGACAGTGGATGGACTCCCAGTTTATGATTCACTATAGCCCAAAGAGCTTCTCTGTGTGATTGGGGGTGGTGATTAGAACCCCATTGAAAACTCCAGACTCTCTCTTTCTGTCCCCCTTCCCCTCCCTGTCTGTCTGTCTCTCTCATGCACACTGTGTGTGTGTGTGTGTGTGTGTGGTTGAATGAGTCTGCTTGTTTGAAAGTCTGTTATTTCTTGTGTTACGTAACTACTACTGATTCAAGGCAAAGAAGGAAGATCAGTGAAGGACAAACTCAAAGGTTCTTATCCAGATTTGGTCTTTATTTTCAATAAAAGGCAAAAATGTAGCCAGGCCTATCATTTTGCCCTTGTCACTTGAAGTCTTATGAATCTCCTTCCATTTTGTATGTTTATACTTCAATTCCCCTATTTTTTCCTAATTCTTTTTTTTTTTTAATTTTATGTTACAGTTACATAGGCTCTGGGGTTTCCCGTCCCCCTCCTCCTAATTCACTTTTAAATTTGTCTATTGGTATGCAGCCATTCCCACAAAGCAAAATTGATGGATTGACTTTTGATGAACAGATTCCAAAAGGTGAAAGGTACTAATGTTAAGTACAAGTGCATTTTTCATTTTTCATACAAGTGCACAGAGCTCAGTTTTGTGAAGCTACTGCCATTGTGTTCATCAGAAACATTGGCTGTCCAGCTTTCCTATGCCTCAGAATTCCTGGAGGGCTTGTTTAGACATAGACTGCAAGGCCTCACTTGCCCTGATTTCTGATTCAGGACATGTCTGGTGGGACCCAGGAATGAGCATGGACAAGGGCCACGGTGATGCTAATGCTTTGTCCTGAGGACCACACGCTAACAGCCACTGATGTAGAGAGAGCAGAATAAGGATGAACATAACTTTTCCTGGAATTGATGTTTTATAGTTGGCATCTAGGTAGATCTTAAAGGTACTAGCAGTTGGGCCCAGTACAGTAGCCTAGTGGCTAAAGTTCTTACCTTGCACACACTGGGATCCCATATGGGTGCCGGTTCTAATCCCAGCAGCCCTGCTTCCCATCCAGCTCCCTGCTTGTGACCTGGGAAAGCAGTCGAGGACAACCAAGGCCTTGGGACCCTACACCCACTTGGGAAGCCCAGAAGAGGCTTTGGATCAGTGCTTCTCTGGTCATTGCGGCCGCTTGTAGAGTGAATCAACGAATGGAAGATCTTCCTCTCTGCCTCTCCTCCTCTCTGTATTTCTGACTTTACAATAAAATTTAGAATAAATCTTTAAAAAATAGATACTAGCAGCCATTTATTGTAGGCATAGCTTAAAAACTTGTGCATGCTTACATAAACTTGTGAATGTGCTAAAAAGCATCGAGTTCTACATATTAAAGTGGTGGTAGGAATGGGCATTATGTTGCCACTTGGGCAAGCCGCTGTCCTTCATCAGAGTGCCTGAGTGCAAGTCCTGGTTCTGTCCTTCCATCTTCTTGCTAATACACACCCTGGGATACAGCAGGAGGTAGCTCAGGTCTTTGGGTTCCTGTCTCCTACCCTGAGTTATTTGCTTTGGCCTGATCTAACCCAAACTGTTGTGGCTGTTTAGGGAGTAAACAAGTGGATATGAAATCTCTCCATTTCTCTGACTCTATGCTTTTCAAATAAATTAATACACACTTGAAAAACAAGTAAAATGTTATCTTCCCGTTTCTATTTGTAAAAATATCCCACGAACTTAATCCAACTGTAGTGCTCAAATATTGATTTTGAAAAGTAAAGAAGGGGCTGGAGTTTTCCATAGCAGTTAAGATGCTACTTGGGATGCCTGCAAACTATACTACAGTGCTTGGGTGTGGGTCTTGGCTTTCTGTTCATTCGGTTCCTACTAATGCACATGCTGGAGGGCATCAGGCAATGTCTCCAAGTGCTTGGGTCCCTGTCCTGGCTTCTGCCTTGCCCAGCCCCAGCTGTTGTAGGCACTAGGGGAGTGAAGCAGAACATAGTAAGTCTCTCTCTCTCTCTCCTTAAATTAAAAAAAAAAAAAACTGAACGCAACGGAATAAGAAAATAAAGGAAAAGTATCAAGACATTAATTTAGTTTCCACATCCTATCTGAAAGAGAGAGGTAATAGAGTGTCCTTTTGTTGCCGTCCCAGTCGGCATGGTAGGAAGCTGTGGTGGTAAGGGAGTGTTGGAGGTTAGAGTATCTAGAAATGTCATTTGAGGACTTCTGCCAATACAGTACCAGCTTCCCACCCCGTCCTGGAGAATTGGCTGTGGAAGTCAGTAAGCTTTATGCATCTCAGTCAGTGCTCTTATCCCACGAAGCCTTCCAGGCTCCTGCAGCACTACAGATCTAGCAGACTAATAAAGTCACATGTGGAAGAGGAGGTTTCCACAAGTGGCATTGATTTGCACTTGCATGTTATTGGAAGGCTCTTTATGCCTGAACTGAGTATGGACTACTTGTTCCCAGGTGCACATGTGTGGTGTGAGGCTGTAAGTGTGTGATTTTGCAGAATGAGCAGGGACTCCATGCTACGGACCTTTCCCTCCCATCTCCCTGAATAGGATTCTTACCACTGTGTGGGGGAATAAGCCACTTAGTAGAAACCCATAGTTTTCTTTTTGTTTGTTTTAACTTTTCGTGATAGAGTTCCATAACCCTCCTTCCACCCTCCCCAACCTCTCTCCCCTCCACGGTTTTCCCCTGTATTATTACAATAATGTAATCACAAGTTCATCATTCTTCCATTTAAGTGTACCCAGCCTTTCTATAAAGTAAATTGGAAGTATGTCACTGTAAAAATTAAGCAATTTAAAAAGGACGAGGGAAAGAAGGAAGGTAGGGTGAGAAAGATCATTATGCTGTTAAAACCGTGTATATGAAATACATGAAATGTGTTCCCTGTAAATTTGCAAATTAAATAAATACTTCTTCCTGTTAGGTTAAAAAAGATGTTGAGATTGTATAATACTTAGGAAAAATATATCAGAACCTCAAAAAGTTTATCAAAAACGGAATTTAAAAAACCGTTTCATTTTGGTGCAAAACAAACTTTAAATTCGTTCATAGTTTTTTCCTAGTATTCCATGTACTATTAAAAATGATTTGGCACCAAAATAGGCTTTTACATTTTATTCAACTTTTTAGGAATTTTTGTAGTGCCTGCATTCTTCTGTGTACATGGCATTATAACCCAAACATACTTTTTCTTGGGTACAATTTGCAATGCCCAGTGAGCTCATGTTCATGTCTGCATATAATAAAACTGCTGTAAAATTGGTATTCTGTTAGTAGCCAAAATGTGCATATTTTTTGAATTTGAGCTTTAAATTGTTAAGACTTCCATTTACTTAGACTGATTTTGTTTGAAAGAGACAGCTGGTAGAGGTCTCTTACTCATTGGATAGTTCCAAGAATACTCCAGCAGAGGGAGCTGGGCTAGGCCCAAGCCAGGTACCTGGAAGGTAGTCTGTGTCTCACATATGGGGGACAGGAGCCGAACTGTTTTAAGCCAGCATCTGCCACTGCCCGGTGTGTTCATTAGAAGCAGGAGTTGGAAGTAGAGGCAGGTCTAAACTCAGGCACTTTAATATGAGATTGTTGTGTCCTTGATAGTGTTATAACTGCTGCATCATAATGACAACCCTAAGATGTACATTTTGACATGATTTGTTGGTAATGAGTTGGTAGCACTTGATAGAAAAAGTCTGGCATAACTGAAGTTTTGATACCTATAATTTGCTACATCTTTATTCTTCTAGGCAAATTCTAGAATTCCTATTTAATGTTACCTTAAAAAATCCTTAAAGGTACTAGTTGAATTTCATTTATAGTACATATGACAAATATGTTTTATTCTAATAAGTAGTTCTCTCCAGTCATATAGAGTCTTTATTAAGATCTTTTCTCATATCCTCCAGTAAAATGTTTTCGTTTTGAAAAGTTGTATTCCTTTCCTGATAAATTAATTTCTGGATATGTTTTGAAAGTTTTAATGAGTCAGTGGTTCCTTATACAGTTGCGCCAATGTACAGTTGTGCAGCTGTGCCCCTTCTGGAAGCCATAATGACAGATCATTTTCATACTCATTTGAGTTGTTTGCAGAATTTAGTACCTTGCATTTGCAGAACCAAAATCCTTTTTTTTCCCTGTGTTTTGTAAATTGCAGGTTCTTCTTGACACCTAGATATTTGATATTAGTGTTACATTAAATACTTTGGTAAATGGTACTTAATTTTACACAAAATTTGAATAGGTTATTGTGATAATTATTATCATTAGCATGTATTTATATCCCCTTTGTGTAAGCAACATTTCCAAAGCTTTGGTCTCTTTTATACCTTTCAGATCAACCTCTAGTGTCATGTAGACTCTACAACAGACCAGTTCAGAGCTTGCCCCACATGCTCACCATTTTCAGCAAAGCCTTCATGAAGATTTGGAAGCAGCACCATAGGTGGGCATGCATCATGCCATCCAGTATCACTACAAATGGGCATCAAGGAGGAGGAAGAAGAGGAGTTATTTCTGTACCTCTGGTCATCAGGTCATCCTCTAGCGCTACAGTATGCTTTCTTTGCTGAAAGGAATCCAGGTAAGTGGTTGCTTCCTTCTCCATTGACATTCCAGATCAGAGCAACAGGTTGTTCATGAGATTCCTGGCATCCACACAATGTGAGGGCTTCCATGTGCCCAGAGCTGTTGAAGACCAGGTTCTGTGCTAAGTACACTGCTGTGTTAGCTAAGCTAATCCTTACCCAGCCCAGGCACTCTCTGCATGTGACACATGAGGCCCAGAGACGCCACCTTCCCAACAGTGAGCTAAACCTGGGTGATATCGGGGTCTGACCCAGGGCTCATTGATTCCTAACACTGGGCACTTTGTACTCCCTACCACGTTTTCCCTTGTTTGTCTCTTACTGCTTGATTTCCCAGAAGTGATTACTATTTGTCCCACATTTCCAGTTATGATCTGTCACTCTTAGAGCTTCATATAGTGAATGAAAGCACTTTTAGTCCCTGGATGCATTCACTATCCCTAATCTGAAATCACTCTGCTCTAATTCACTTAATCCCAGAAATCATGACTTTCCTATCTTTCCCCCCTGGAATCTTCCCAAAATATATTCTTTTCTAAGAATCTAGCTCCCTTGTTGTTTTCTCTGGAACAGTTCGCTAAGCTTCAGCCTGAGTCCATTTTCTAACTTTGTCTTGACTCATGGTGGTCTTTGGTGGATTTTCAGCCTACAGGGATAGTAAGCAAAAATGCCACATGCACCAGCTAAACTGCCATCTTCAGGGCAGGAGGCCCACAGTTTCCAGCTAGCTCTTTTAGTCCTCAGCTGGCTCCCTGCACCAGCTGGCTTGCAGGCCAAGAGCTCCCTGCACATTTGGTCAGTCTGTTGTCTCCAACAAATGTTGGCATAAAAGTGTGTCATACAAATACACTATGCTCCTTCCAGTTGCTGCTCTGGTGAGTCTCCTCCTGCTGTCAGCATCCCATTTAAGGAGTGAAGATAAACATGGTGTCAGGGAACTATACTTGCCTCTCTGTAGCTCTCTTTCTTCTCATCAGAACAAGTATTTGTTCCTCCCCATGTTCCTTCCAGCCAAGAATAATTACCACAAAATAATAGTGACCACTTAAGCATATTGGCTTTGTGTCTGCCAACCAATGATGGAGAATTTCAATATTTCCTAAGTGTGAGCCTTTTTAAGACTGTAGGTTTGAATCTGGCATATCATGTTTAGAAGTGGAAAGTTTATTATTTTAAGAATGTACATAAAATTGTCTTAAGAAACATTTATAAGAGGTCCTGGTATAATGGCTTAATTGGCTGCCCCTTCTCTTGCAAGTACCAGGATCCTATATGAGCGCTGGTTTGTGTCCCAGCTGCTCCACTTCTTGTACAGCTTCCTGCTTGTGGCCTGGGAAAGTAGCGGAGGGTAGTCCAAAGCTTTGGAACCCTATACCCAGATGGGAGATCCAGAAGAAGCTCCTGACTTTAGATTGGGTCAGCTGTGGCTATTGAGGCCTTTTGGAGATTGAGCCAGCAGATGAAAGATCTTTCTCTTTGTCTCTCCCACTCTATGAATCTGCCTTTCCTAAATAAATAGGTAAATAAATAAGCCTTGAAAAAAGAAAAACATTTACAGATGCATGCATATACAAAAGCGGGACAGACTTTAAGCACAGTGGGCTAAACTTCTACTTGGAATGTGCACATCCCATATCCAAGTGTTAGTTCAGGTTCTGCTTATTCCACTTCCCATCTAACTTCCTGCTAATGCATGCTGGGAGACAGCAGATGATGGTTCAGTGTGCTTGGGCCACTCTCGCCTACTTGTGGAGACATGGTTGGGATTCTGAACTTCTGGCTTTGATCTGACTCAGCCTGGCTATTGCAGGCATTTTAGGAGTGAACCAGTGAGTGCATGGAAGACCTTTCTGCTGCTCTGCTTTCCAAGCAGAGAGAGAGAGAGAGTGTGTGTGTGTGTGAGCATAGACAAAAATTAAGTGAGACAATATAGAGCCTTCCCCCTCCTCCATGCATCCCATTCCTGCTCTAGACCCCCTGTTTGTACAGAAACCTTCCACTGTCCCTTGTATCCCCTGGGAAGTTAACCACACCCATGCCCTCTGTAGCCTGGACTCCTTCCTCTGTCCTAGGCTGAAGCCCAGGTTCCTAGAGGACCTACTTTTCCTGAAGTCCTCAGCAGAGAATGCTCCTGCTGCCCCTGCGCAGCGTGGACTTTAGGATCACAGCTCAGTGCCCCTCCCAGATCCTTGGCCTGTCCCGTTCCTCTGCCTGTGGTGCTGCCCTGTGGTCTCACCCTCCATGCCTCATTACTGTCTCTGTTCTCCCTCATCACTGCAAAGCTGCTGCCATCCTGTCTTCATTGTCTCTACAGGCGATTCTTCCAGCTGTGTGTCTTCCAGGTTTCTTTACCTCTTCAAGCCCAGTGCTATTCACCTCACTTCAGCTGCAGAATCCATCTCGAGATTTGGATGTCATCCTGTTACTCCATCCCTGAAATCAGAAACTGCATTTTAAAAATCACAGCATTGTATCTCTGTGTGCCTCCTAAATACTATTGCAGTGACATCAATGATCAGATCAGCTCACCTCATTTATATCTTCTTCCCTGTTCAACTTTAAGAGTCACCCCCTCAGGCACTCTCTTGTCAATATCCCCAAATCTGTGATTTCATTGCCCTCCCACCAGGCTCCCTAACAAACTCCCAACCTTGAATACCAACTGTGCACTGCAAAGGCCCACCTCCAGCTCCTCAGCGCTGCTGGAGACAGCTTAGGTTGGCACCCCTGCAGCTCACCTCCTCCTACCTCGCCCCAGCTGTCAGGGCTGTCAAGATGGGAGAAGAATGTGCTTGAGAAACTGCAGAACCAGCGTTGGAAGCAGCCCAGTGTTCCTTTATTTCTCAGACTAGAAGTCTGTGAGCAAGCTTCCTTCAATTAAGGACCTATTAAGGACTAGAATTTGATAGAGGAGCCAGATATCTTCTGGCTATCTCTGTTCATGAGGTAAAATTAGGGAGCTAAGTTCATTATAAAGGCATGTGTATGGGTCCTAAAAACCAACAGCGAAAGCCCCTTGTCTGATAGCTCTGTGTGTGAGTTTAAGGCAAATTCACAGAGAGATCTTGCAGCCCACTGGCTCACTCCCTAAATGGTCGCTACAACCAGAGCTGAGCCAATTCAAAGCCAGGAGCTTAATCTGGGTTTCTCATGTGGGTGCGGGAGGCCAAGGACTTTGAGCCATCCTCTGCTGCTTTCCCATGCCGTAAGCAGGGAGCTGGGTGGAAAGTGGAGCAGCCAGGACATGAACTGGCAACTGGGATGCTGGTGCTTATAGGTGGAGGATGAGGCTGTTGAGTCACCACACCAAGTCCTGCCTGGTAGTTTTAATGTCTTCAGATTCAAGGCTGTAAAGAGAGAATTAGGGTAAGAACTTTTGAGCCAACATTGTGTTTTCCTGAATGATTTTATGTTAAACATTATTTAATGAAAGATTTTTAAAAGAAGGAAGTCTATAATTGTCTAGAAATTCTAAAGAGTTTTAATGTGGTTCACTTTTGTGATTAATTTGGATTATGGATTATTTCTGGCTATTCCTACATCCCTCTCGCCAGTGGGCAGAAAGGGAGCACTGAGGAACAGTGTCGTGTCCCACCTGCAGGGCCTTTCCTCCCCTGCTCTGTTTTCAGTGCTAAGATGGAGCCGTCACCTCACGACGTACAAAGCCATTTCATGTAAGTTCTCATTAACCACTATGTCCCAGTGAGATCATAATGCCTACAATGTTAGAAATCAGTTTGTGAGAGAGATTGATCCTGTCCTCAAGGCCACTATCCAAATGGCAGCAGTAGCCCCTGGCTGGGGTCAAAGCCAGAACCTGGGAACTTAACCAAGGTCTTCCATACTGGTAACAGAGTCCAAATGTCTGGCTAATACCACTGCCTTCCAGGGTCTATAATACCAAGAAAATGGGGTGAGGAACCAGAGCCAGGTACACTGATGTAGGGACCCAGGTTTCTTAACTGCTATGCTAAATGCTGATCCAGTGTTAGATATGTTTGTGGAAGAATAAAATTAAAAACCCACAGTGCTCTTTTCCTGAACTCTGAAGACTCATATCCATAGCAGTAACTTTGAGGAAGCTGATGCATCCACTGTGGAGGGATTAGGTAACAGAAAACCTGAAACCATAGCAGATGGCCCTGCATTCTCAGTGGCATCACACAATGGAGATTTCTTTATTGCTCAATCTATCATTTATTTATTTATCTATCATATTATTTATTTATCTACTTATTTATTGCTAACTAGTACCAAGTTCTTTCCAACCATTGTTGTAGTCAAGGGTCAACATACTTTTTGTGTAGAGTTTAGGATAGTAAATCTTTTAGGCTTTGTAGACTGCTCCGTCTCTGTGACCACTATTCACATCTGCCATTGTGCCCCAGGTAGAATGGAAGCCAGTGTGCAGAGCCATGTCCCAATAAAACTTTAATTATGGATGCCGAAAGTTTTGAGGTTAATGTAAGTTTTAGTTTTCACCAAATAGCATTGTTTTCTTAACTATTTTCACCTATTTAAAAATGTAAAACCGTTTCCAGCTCAAAGAGAGTCCAAAAATAGGCTAGAAGCCAAATTTTTCCTGCAGGACCTTGTGTGCCCACACCTGCTGCAGACCTCCTCCAGGCAGTCGCGATGTTCTCTTATCCAGATGTCAGTGAAGGATACTGTGAGACTTTGAGGGGCCAGTCCTGGATTACACATCACCATTGCCATGTGCACATTTCATGACCAGAATTGAACACAGGCCCTTGAGGAATGCAAAGGACTTGAAAGATAGTCTTCCAAGTGATCTGGAACAAAACAAAACAAAGTGGAATGGGGAATCAGCAGTATCTTCTTTGTTTCCGTAATTTTTCTGTGTTTTTCCCTTCTTCCTGCTTCCTTTAAGGGTTCTTCTCTTTCTTTTTCCCTTTGCCAAGCTGGATGATTTTGATTTCTCCAGTTTACATATTTCAATATGGTCTTTCTTTAAGACTTGTTTCAAATGGATAGATCAATGAAAGCTTCAGAACAAAGAAATCTGGGCCTCTCTTGTATCCCTGGATGGCTATTTGTGAACTCTTCCCACAACTAGATAGTACATTACCTGAAGGTAAATATCCATTGTTTTTTTTTT